GCGCACAGTTGATCGCCACCCCATTAGGGATCAACAAGTCCAGGCCTATGATAACCTTTTTCCCTCTCAAAGGAATGGGAACCAAACCCACAAGATACCGCTCGTCATACAATATCAAGACAAAATCTTTGAAAACCTCTGATGCCCGGACTAATCGGTCGTCGGTAATCTCGACCTCTAAAGGACAATCCAACATGCCTAAAGAAATAGAAAACCTCTTGCTAAGTTCAAGAGAGACAAATGATCTGGTAGCCACCGAATCGAATAACACCTGAACTAGGATACCGTTCACATGGAACGGTCCTAACAGAACACATGAAACATAGAACATAACTAACATAACTTAAATGTAATAAGAGTTAGGGAGGAGAAATCGTACCCGTCACCACATCTGGTGAAGCACGCGCCTCTTCGGCGGTTAGCTGAAAGGCTCGGCTCCTCACCGATGGAGCATCTGTCTTGCCCTATCGGCCATCCATGCTCCGCAGGGTCGCTGGAGCTAGCACCGCCACTGGCGCTCTTGATGTCAATCTCGGACAATTGGCATTTTGTGGCCCTTTTAATTGCAATCAAAGTAAATCAAGTCTAATGTCTGAAGAGTAGGGCTAGGGGTAGTACAATCCCTACCAAAGTACCCAAGCTTGCCGCACTTATAGCAGCCCGATGACCCCAGTCTACAAACTCCCTCATAAGTCTTGTCGTATTTCCCACAGCGGCTCTGGCCCTGCTGGCCCTTCGAACTAGAGTCGGATCCCTTGGGTGTAACATCCGAAAAATACAACCAATTTAAATTTTTCAAAACAACCCGATTTTCATTAAATTGTTTACAAAAAGGTTTTCAATACAAATCATTTAGAGTATTCCCAGAATCACATTGCTACGAAATCATGAGGAGCGGTACGATCGCGCCTTCGCCTTGCCACGGTCTCCTGAAGAACCTGAAAAACATTAAACCACAACTGTAAGCCCGAAAGCTTAGTGAGATACCCCCAAAATACCAACCACGTATATGCCCTTCCAGGCTACGACCTTTCGGTCCAAAACATATTGCCTTCCGGCCCATAACATATAAAACATACATAACATAACAGAACATAGAACAGCCATGCATATCGGGTCTACTGTGTGACTGGTCCGCCGTATCGGGCCTTCAGTCCACCGGATCCATCCTCCAGGTCTAGTCATGTCCTTCGAGTCTACAGTGGGGTTGGTCCGCCCGCATCGGCCTTCAACCCACCTGGTCCACTCTCTGAGTCTACAGTGTGACTGGTCCGCCCGCATCGGGCCTTCAGTCGGCCTGGTCCACTCTCCGAGCCTCGGCACGTCTGGTCCGCCCTCGTGGGGCCTACAGCCTATCCGGACCGCTCGCTGGGCCTTCGGAATAACCGGTCCGCCCTGGGTATCTTGGCCTACAGCACAAAGCAGGACCCGCCTCAACCCATCTCCAGTCCAAACAACCATGTGCACATAACATACAATCATATAACAGTCATAGTCAACAAACCGAGCAAGCAGATCACATAGCATATCATTACCCTAACCAGGTTACCGACCTAACCGGTCACTAGCATAGCATCACTCTATATATATCGGGAAACTGACCTTAACAAGGTCTCCTAGCATGTACCATCCTAGCTACCAGGATGCAGACACATCAAACAATAACATAATAACCATATCCGAATCTCAATCCAATAAAGGGCCGGCCTTGGTGCCTTAGACCCTGTTGATATAGTGAGGATAACTCACCTCGAAACTGCCGGCTGAAAGGATAAGATCCCGCTGCTCCGAACTCTGACACGAACTCCTCACTGAACATCAAAACATTCAACTCAATAATATATATATATATAAAAATAAAAAACCTTACAAATCCCCTGGAACAACTGTCAACCCCTGACTGACCTACTCGCCGAGTCAACCCGATGACTCGCCGAGTCCAAGCTCAGAACTTCCCTCAATCGCGACCTGACTCGCCGAGTCACCCCAGACTCGCGAGTCCAACACTCTGAGTCCACTCGCACCCAACTCACCGAGTCATCCCTTGACTCACCGATTCATCGACTCAACCAGAAATATTGGGACTCTTCGACAAGACTCGCCGAGTCCAAGAACAGACTCGCCGAGTCTAAGGCTATCTTCAACCTACTCGCCGAGTTGTTCTTCCAACTCGTCGAGTTCCAGGCCATCTTCAAGCAACTCGTCGAGTCCACCCTGTGACTCGTCGAGTACCACCGGTCTGAATCCATACAGAAGCATCTCAGGCCATGCAATTGATCCAAAACATAGATCCAACCTCCTACAATCCATCCATCACGTAAAGTGGCAAACTTTACGTGAATCTAAGATCTAGGCCTTATTCACCTTAGAACTAAGGTTTGGGACATGATAGCTCCATTAACAACACAAGAACAGGGGCTTTAATGCTCTTAAGATCTTCTCCACTCCAGATCTGAGGTAGCAACCTCAGATCCATCCTTCAAACATCAAGATGCCACACAACTAAGCTCCCCACACAACCCCAAAATGAGAATCTAGGAAAACACAGCCCAAGAACGAAAGTATTACCTCCAAAGATGCCTCAACAGCAATGAAACTCGAATCCAAGCAAAGCCCTTTGATCCAAGCCACTTCTCCTTCAAGATTTCTTCAACCAACACCTCTCCAAGCTCTAATTTGCTCAACAATGGGACTCTCCACGAATTAGGGTTTCTGGGACTCAAGGGGGGTAAGGAGGCTGTGGAGGAACATAATGATCTTTATATAGGGCTCAACCCCGAAATTAGGGTTTTCTCCACACAGCACCTACTCGCCGAGTCCATCTTTGGACTCGCCGAGTAGGCCACTTGATACGCGACCAAGTCGCGACCTGACTCGCCGAGTCTATCCATGGACTCGCCGAGTCCCTCCGAAACTTACACTTTTAGCCCTTCAACTCTACTCTTGCGATTCCGGGATGTTACAATTCTCCCCCACTTAAATTAGGCTTCGTCCTCGAAGCCTACGGCATCTCATCTTCAAATTACTTCCCACGACGCGCCACCTGACCTTGACCGAACCAAGTCCCTCAAGGCACAACCATAGAAACCAGAAGCTCACTTTCTCCTTCCATACAGTGTCCCAACCACCTACTCAAATCGGGCACCAGCTGTACTCTCCGATAGCCGCACTCAACAACCG